GAGGAAGGGAGAGGGAGAGAGGGAGGGAGAGGGAGAGAGAGAGAGAGAGAAACATCAATGTGAGAGAAAAACATCCAGATGCCTCCTGCACACCCCCCACCAGGGCTCCAGCCCCGAAACCCAGGCATGTGCCCTGATCAGAAATCAAACCAGCAACGTTTCAGGGCGTGGGAGGACACCAACCAGGGTGTATTTTTCTTTTCTTTCAATAATTGAGCCATTCTGTGTATTATGAGATGGAAGGAAGGAAGGAAGGAAGGAAGGAAGGAAGGAAGGAAGGAAGGAAGGGAGGGAGGGAGGGAGGGAGGGAAAGAAGGAATGGAACTAAAGGGTTAATTGCCGAAACCGGTTTGGCTCAGTGGATAGAGCGTAGGCCTGCGGACTGAAGGGTCCCGGGTTCGATTCCGGTCAAGGGCATGTACCTGGGTTGCGGGCACATCCCCAGTAGGAGGTGTGCAGGAGGCAGCTGATCAATGTTTCTCTCTCATCGATGTTTCTGACTCTCTATCTCTCTCCCTTCCTCTCTGTAAAAAATCAATAAAATATATTTTTTAAAAAAAATAAAGGGTTAATCAACTATACTCTAATCAACTGCTGAAGAGCTGAGGGGAGAGACAGCTCCAGTACAGGCTGGCACTGTAAGCCTGGAGTAGCCAATGGAATCCATTCTCAACTCCACCGTGTGTGTGTGTGTGTGTGTGTGTGTGTGTGTGTGTGTGTGTGTGATGTTGAACCATTTTAAAATAGGGAACATTTTTGTAATGTTTAAATACAGACTATTATCGAAATCTGACTCATTGAGATATTCATCCATAACCTTCTGGATCTGAAAGAAATGAGGTCTCATTCAAAACAAGCTGGTCTGAACTGAGGCCTTGAGAAATAAGCCAACTGTACAAACTTCTCTCGAATGCCTTTCTTTTTTGCACCATTAATGCTTCTGGCTGTTAGAAGCTTCACTGAAATACTGAAAGGACAGTGGTTGGGGTTGGAAAACCGGAAGACAACTTGTGAATGGGCCAAACATTGTTTCCTTTATCTGCTGCATACCTCCTAGGCTCTGCGCAGCACCCAGGTCAGATTCTGGGTCTCAGTCCTGCAAGCAGAGAAGGCAGGCCAGCCAGGCTAGCTAGCCGCCCCATTCTCAGTCGCACTAGGAACCTCACGGCGAGCTAAATTTAAAATGTGGCTAAATTCGTTTCTGCAAGCTCCGTTTCCCCTCCTGACTCACTTGCTGCTGCCTGTTGAGCTTTCCAGCCCAGAGCAGTGTACCAGAGCGCGGCACTGTGACATTTTGCTGCATGTAGGCCAACGAAATGTCAAGTCTGCAAAGCAGGGTGGTCGGAGTCACCAAAGCGGGGGTGGGGGGGGGGCGCAAAAGGGGCAGGCAGGCTCCCGAGCTTGATCAGTGAGCACCCTTTGGTGCGAGTGGAGGGCAGAGGTTGGAGGTCACTGGACCTTTAGCGTCCTTGACCGCTTTGGTCCTTTGCACGGGTCATTTGAATGTGCCCGTCTCCTCTGGCCCAGAACAGCGCCCCAGCAAGGGCGCCTGGAGACTCCGGCCCAGAGCTTTGTCCGTGCGGGTCTTGCAAGCGACGAGCGCATCGCAGTAATTGAAACCGCGCGCACTGGGGCCGCCGTGGTCTCCATAAACACCGCTTTTCTGCTGACGCACGGAACGCGGGTTCCCGCCACCGCGGGGGAAGAGGCGGCGGCGTGTGACCGACGGCAGGGGCCGAGTAGAAGAGGGGAAAACCCTGCTGCCGACCAGGGAGGCACCCCAGAGCCGATTCCTGAAGCACTGTTGGCGAGTACACAGCCCGATCGGATCCGGGGCGGCAGCGGCGGGGAAGAGGGCTGGGAAGGGAGGGTCCGAGCGCTCGGGCGGGGGCTCCAGAGCGCCCCCTGTGCGCGGTGAGCACACGGCGCACGCACCGTAGGCGCGCAGGGGAAAGCCTAGCCGAATGGGGGGCGGGCGGGAAAGATGAAGCGAAAGGGGACGCCCGGCGGCGCCGAGAACCGCCAGCCCCAGCAGGGCGTCCCGCGGGCTGCGCCCCGGCCCCCAGTCGGCGCAGGTCCAGCCGCGCGCGGGACAAAGCGGTGACGCTCCCGGCCCTCCCCTCCCACGCCTCCCCCCGGAAAAAGGGGGCGGCAGGAAAAGATGAGCTGTTGGGGGCGCAGAGTCGCCCGCGCCGGAGCACGGCAGTGATCTGCCCCACCAGCCTACGGAGGGTGAGAGAGACAAGCGAACTTTCTTTTTCGATCTCTGGGCTCAGCCCGGGTCCCATGATCGGCGGCATTCCCCACCCCACGCCCACATGGGTGCCTCGCCCACCCCAATCGCGGACGCGGGCGCGCCTTCTCCCGGCCCCACGAGGTGGGGGGGGGGGGAGGGGGGTCTCCAGTCCGATCCTCTACGCCCGCCCGCGGCGTCTGATTGGAGGATCCCCAGCCGGTTGACCCCAAAAGTGACGCTTTCCCCAAGTCCCCTTTCCCTGTGCCCCACCCGATTGTGCCCGGAAATTTTGTTCTCAAGCCCGTGCCACTGCCGAGCCGAGGACTCCGGCCCCGCGGGAGACTTCCCCGCGCACGCCCTCGGGGTCCCCGGAGTGAGTCACTCCGAGTCGTGCACACCCGCAGCTCGCCGCCTCCCCGGACGCCGCGCGCCGCGCCTAGGAAAAAGTTTCCTGTCTTCCCGAGAACGTTTTCTCACCCGAGAGAAATGAGGGATTGGGGGGGGGGGGGCTCTCCCCGCCGCGCTCTGCCCAGCTCTCCTTCCTCCGTCCCCTCCCAGCTCTGCCCTGGGCCGCGGGGTCCCGTCCAGCCTCCAGTCCTCTCCAGCGCGAGTCAGCAAACCAGGCGGCTGCGGAGCTCCCACAGCCCGGCTGGTGACACGTTTCCCTCCTCTCTCATCTTACAGCCGCCTCCTCCTCCTCCTCCTCCTCCTCCTCCTCCTCCTCCTCCTCCTCCCCCTCCTCCTCCTCCCCCTCCTCCTCCCACTTTTCCTGTTCAGTGTTCATCCCTTCAGTTTTTCTCCGAGGGTCCCCACCTCCCTCCATCCCACTCCTCCCCAGAAGCCACTCTCGCGCTGCCGGGCAGGAGGGCAGAAGGGGGAGGGGGCGCCTGCACTTACATCCAGTTCAACAATTTCAGGAAATCCAACTCTTGAACTTGAAAAGCCTGGGAGGATGCCACAGGTCTGGGAGACCGGTGCTGCGCTTCCCTCACAGGAGACCACACACCCCTCCCCTTTCCCCTCCCCTTCCACGACGGGATCATCCCTCCCCACCCCCCACCCGGGACTAGAAACACCACGGATAAGCCAAGGGGTGATTCTAAGGCTCCCTAGAGAATTAGAGCTTCTGTTGTTTTAAGGAGCAGCCCCGTGGCCCATTCCAGAAGTTGTTCGAAGTGCATTTGTGCAGGTATCATTTCAGTGCAGCCTGCCCCTGGATCTGCAGAACTCTTTGAAAGCTCCCAAAGTCTCTTTCCAGATGAAGGTTTCATGAATTGGAAGGTCCCTGGGAGCTTGAAACAATAGAAAACCACCCAATCCCAAAATGAAAAACAACGTAAAATTATTTTCAAAACTTTCTTTTTCTTTTGCAGGTGTTAAGAATTAGACGCAGCTGTTTTTCAGGACTCACTGCCTTGCATAATTTCACCCAATGGTTGAGCAGGAAATACTTAAAAAATGCTGCCCACTTACACATCACACTTTGTCTTTGAAACCACAGTGACATTTGCTGAAGAAAAGATATGTCTTTTTAAGTCAGAACTGGGGGGGGGAGAGGGGAGAGAATCGTGTTTATTTTTATCACTGCGCCCTTACAAAGCCTACCTAAGGGGCTGGTCATGGTGCGCCCAAAGGGGAGCGGAACCGATGGAGCTCTGGGTGCCCCACTTGTCCAGTGACATCAGTGAAAGCTAAAGCATTCTCAGTACAAACCCCGGCATGTTGGAGACGCTTTAAATCTTATCCCAAGAATCGCACACAGTGAAAGGAACGCTTTAAATCTTATCCCAAGAATCGCACACAGTGAAAGGAACGCTTTAAATCTTATCCCAAGAATCGCACACAGCGAAAGGAACGCTTTAAATCTTATCCCAAGAATCGCACACAGCGAAAGGAACGCTTTAAATCTTATCCCAAGAATCGCACACAGCGAAAGGAACGCGGCGCCAGGCACGTGCCTGGGAAAGAAAGAAAGGCTTGAGGGGGCAGTGCGGGCTGGGAGGGAATTTGACTATGTCTTCCAGGCAGCTGTTCCAAGGGCTTCGGCGCCAAAGCCCGGAGCCGGAAGGTGGGGGCTCGTGTGCCACGTCTTTCCCTTGGCTGCAGGGTACGAGCCAGTTACTTAATTGTGCTGTGTGTCAGTTTGCAACCAGGAAAATGGGTATAACAGAGTAGCTATCTCTGAGGGTTGTTATGAGGATTCAGTGAATTCATACAGAGAAAGTGCTTAGAGTTTCTGCTGAGGTGCAACAGATATTAAGCTATTATGACTATAATTATCCCGCAGGTCCGGGAGGTGAAAAGGAAACTATTTCTACAAGGCTACAGGAAGACTGGCTTGGGAACATTCATTAAATGTTGCAAACTCCCTCGTCTCCTTGAAGTCTTTGTTCAATGAGCTCCATCCTGCTGGGTCTATTTAAAATGGTAACTCCCTCCCTCCCCCACCTTCATTCAACTCTATTTTTTCTTTTTCCATGGCATCTGTGACTTGTAACATATCACATAATTCACTTCTTTAAAAAAGTGGCTTGCACCACCTCTTCCTTCCCAGGCCACCTCAACTCTACAAGATCGTGGGCTTGTTCTGTTCACTGGGATTGCCCCAAATTCTGGAACAGTGCCTGGCATATCCCGTGCACCCAGTAAATGATGATAAGGGAATAAGTGGATTCATTTAGCAAATTTATTCTATACTGAGTGCTTATGGCGGGTTGGGCACTGTGCAATTAACTTTTTTAAAAAAAAGCTAAAACATACTCACCGGGCCTAGCCAAGGATAAAAGAAGCTCCCTCTGGGAGAAGTACACTCGCTGGTAAAGAGGAGTATCCACAATGTAGGCGATGCCAGCTCCGTGGAGATGCCATAAAAGAGTATTCAGAGACTGGAACAAAGGTTTATAGAGGTTAAAGTCTCTTCTAATCCTAGAGGTTGCTAAATTTTTTTAATATGTTTTTATTGATTCTTAGAGAGGAAAGGAGTGGGAGAGAGAGAATCATGGATGAGAATGGCCACCTCCTGCACACCCAATACTGGGGATCGAGCCTGCAGCCAGGCTTGTGCCCTGACAGGGAATGGAACCGGGGACCTCTTGGTTCATGGGTCGACGCTCAACCAAGGAGCCACACTGGCTGGGCTGTAAATGGAATTGTCTTAAAATAAGAAGTAGCTGACATTTTGGTGTAAATCAGAACTTTGCCCTAAGGATGATTAATACATTGTACTTGTCACCACCCAAATTTTTACCAAAATTCTAACTAAAGGTCACTGGAACCTTGCCTTTTCTTATTAAGAAATAAAAAAAAAATTTTTTTAAGGACAAACCAATACAGATCACTCTATTTAAACACTCATTTATGGAAGAGTAAATTCTAGGTCTTTATTAGGCACACCAGCCGCTGAAATGAAAGTTGGCCCAATCCAGGTCCCTGCTGATAAGGTAGGCCTCAGGCAGCCCCTTTTAAGCTTTTGACCCAAATGCAGCCAAACTTTGTGACAAACGCTGGCATGAAAGAGGTACACTGAGCCATCAGATTCCTTTACTGGAATGTGAACCTGTGTGCGCACACACACTGTAGCAGGAATCTAGAACAAAAGCTAAGAGGTCATGACTATCTGAACTCCAGACTCTAGCAGCTGCAGACGGGCTGCCCGTGGACCAGTTAGATGTACATTCCGTGTTTATCTTTTGATCCCCAGTGTGTCAACATTTAAAAAAATAGTTGCTCACATGTAACCATCAGAAAACTTCATGCAAAAATATGGTTTTTCGGCTTGCCTTGAACACTCTGGAAGACCTGGCATTGATCACTTTGTGGGCCCGCACAGCCACAGTCAGCTAGAGCTGGGGCACCCCTCTCCCCTTGGACAGGGCATGCAGCTTCCAGTTTGCCACAAGCCCAGGCACTTCCTACCCGCCCCCCCTTCTCTTGTTCCCAACCTACTCACCCGTTCCCCTGCCAGCAATGCAGGTATAGAAGGGAAGCTGGCACGTCTCAAGACAGGGCAAAGAAGCAGAGGCCCCCCTAGGGCCTTGGGATCAAAAGCACCATCCACTTCCTGTTCATCCAGAGGCCTGCTCTGCTACTTTTCCTTTGTTTCCAGAACAGTGCCTGCCCACCCCACGCCCGTGACGCACATCCATCCCCAAAGACGCACCAGACTGAGTTCGGGGTTAGGTGTTCGTCCAAAGTTATACACAGACAAGAACGGACAGGACAGGGATGCCTGATCCCAATTCAGTGCTCTTGAGCTACACTGTACTCCTTCCAGGTCAGATGGCGTCCATCCCAGACTGCTAGGGAAACCCACTTCCGTTTTACAGAATCATGGCATTTAATGCCTTGGGATCTGATCTATAACAGGTAGGGAATAAACTGAATTGAGGTGTTCAAGGTCTGATCCCCAGGTTGGACTTCCTTCCACAACACTTCAACGTCTCATACTATGTCAAAAAATTTATGCCAGTGAAGGAAAGCCTCATATCCTTCCATAACTTAGCTCCTTAATGTAGACGGAACACATGGAGGCCCCGGGAAGACCCTTTGCTGATGCCAGTACAGAGGTTGTGAGGAGTATAGGTAGGTCCCCCAGGCCTGGGCAGTGTTAAAACACACAGTTTTTCAGGTCCTCCGAGCTCCAGTCATAAAATAAGTTAATGTAGTTACTCATGAGAAATACTCATCTAGATATAGAACTTGCATCAGCCCTCTCTATACATCAGCAGTATCGCACCCTCCATAAAAACGGGACCATTGGAGAGTAAGCTGAGCATCTGATCTAGTACCAGGGTGTAAAATCGGTGAACTTTGGTCCAGCAGCAAAGCTTCATGCGCACATGAAAACTAGCTTTCCTTCCTTCTGCTCCCTTCTTAACTTCCAGAAGAAAACTGAGAGCCTTGAAGTTTGTTCTTTTTGGAAGAAGTTTGGATGATACAGATAAGACAGTTTTCACTTCCTTTTCTTGGTAGCAATGGGGTATTTCTGGTATATTGGTTTTTTTACTCTCTTCTTTGTCTTTGGAAATATCTGTCATCCATTCTAAAGGGCTGATATTTAACTCCATCTGATTGTACAGGGTGTCCCCCCAAAAATTTATACACATTTAACAGTGTGTATAGTATTCTTGTTGTTTTCTTTTCAGATTTAACCCATTGGGATTAATTATTGTTCTGCAACTCATCATCCATCGTCAGCAGAATCTCCTATATCTTCACCTTTTTTTCTAAACATTTTGTTAGCCTTGGTGCCCTAACTCAGTGGTTCTGACTCCCTTCGGTCTCAGGGTACTCTGAAAAATTATTGCTTTTGTTTGTGTGGGTTATATCTATCAATACTTCCTGAGTTTGAAATTAAACATTAAATTAATTTATTATAAGATAACTGTAATAAAACTATCACATATTTTATGAAAAATCACTATGTATTTTTCTAAGTCAGGGGAAGAATGGCATTGATTTACATTTCTGTGAGTCTCTTTAACTTCTGGTGTAATAGAAGACAGCTGGGTTCCCAACCACTTCTGCATTCAATCTGTTGTGTTATCACACATCATGTAGCCTCTGGAAAATTCCACTGTACATTTTTGAGAGAATGAGAATGAACGGCAAAAAATATCTTAGTATCACCATGAAAACAGTTTTGGATTTGTGAGCCTCTGAGAGTTTTCAGAGACTCCCTGGGTTCCCAAACCACACTTTGAGAACCACTGTTCTAACTGAACCCTGGCTTTCCCTGGAGGACCCTCTCCCCCCCCAAAATCCTCTCTCTTGGCGGTTCCTCTCTAGCACTCTGTATCACTGGACTGTGATAAAGAGTAGTTGTTTTCCTTGCCCCCCTGTGCCCCAGCCTGCATGCCAGGTTAGAGCATGCAGGTCAGTGGTTAGAGCATCGGCCCTCGCACCAAAGGATCATGGGTTCAATCCCGATCAAGGGCATGTACCAGGGTTGCAGAATTGATCCCCAGCCCCAGTCAGTGCACGTGTGGGAGGCAACCAATCAATGTGTCTTCCTCACATCAGTGTTTCTCCATTGTAATGAGGGCTAGGTGAGGTCATGAAGATGGGGCCCTCATAATGGGATTAGTGGCCCCTTTAAAAGGAAAAAAGACACAGTCTTTCTCTCTCTCTCTCTCTCTCTCTCTCTCTCTCTCTCTCACACACACACACACACACACACACACACACGTGGTTACCATTACAACTCTCTTTCTTCAGACAACACTATGACATGCATGCTATTATTATCCCCATTTTACAGATGAAGAAATTGAGACTAAAAGAAGTGGTTTAGTCCTTTCCCAGGGTCACATAGCTCTTCAGAGGTAGAAATAACCACAAGCACACGGTTTTCTTTCCCATTGTAAGTTCTTCCCGACTTTTTCCCAATTTAGGAAGAGGGAGTTGCAGAGCTGCTTGGGGAAGATAAATATTCTCATCCAAACCACCAACTGCCGGGAGGCTGCCTGCCTGCTGGATGTGGGGAATGAGAATTCCGCAGTGGTAGAAAGTGGGTGGAGCAAAGATGCCCCGTCCGCTAGAACAACGGTCCCTGGCAGGGTCTGGTGTCCACCCCAGTCAAGGTAAGCCGAGCCAGCATGTAGATGGCCGCCCTTCACAAAGACTCTCTGTTCGTTCTCCAGCATTAACTGGGGCAGTTCTGGCCTGACAAGAACACAGACCAGCCCCTCACTCAACACCTGTTTCACTTCTCCTTATAAATATGATACTCACAGTACCGGAGTTTGGGTGTTTCAGCCTGGCTTTCATCAATGAAGTCTGTCTTAGGTCTCCCAGCTGGACATTTCTTAAATTGGTCTCCGAGGAAGGCTGATACCACAGGATGTGCCCAGTGTTGCTGGAGAAAGATCCCTTAGTTCAGTGGTTCTCAACCTTCTGGCCCTTTAAATACAGTTCCTCATGTTGTGACCCAACCATAAAATTATTTTCATTGCTACTTCATAACTGTAATGTTGCTACTGTTATGAATCGTAATGCAAATATCTGATATGCAGGATGGTCTTAGGTGACCCCTGTGAAAGGGTCATTTGACCGCCAAAGGGGTTGCGACCCACAGGTTGAGAACTGCTGCCTTAGTCAAATAATGTTTGGAAATACTGCATACAATAGCGTAATATGCATGAGTATATTAAGACCTTGGTCCTAGCTGGTTTAGTTCAGTGGATAGAGTGTCGGCCTGTGGACTGAAGGGTCTCAGATTCGATTCCGGTCAGGGACACATGACCAGGTTGCGGGCTCGATCCCCAGTGTGGGGCGTGTAGGAGGCAGCCGATCAATGATTCTCTCCCATCATGGATGTTTCTATCTCTCTCCTTCTCCCTTCCTCTCTGAAATCAATAAAAATAAAAATATTTTTTTCAAAAAAATAACTTGGTGGTGGTCTGCAGGGGAGAAACATTCAATAATTTCATTTCTTTCCATGGAATACTATTAACAGTTGAGAATCTAGCATTCCACAGTATAATTGGGGAAATGCTGTCCTAGAGAGAAGACTTGTATGTTGGCCAAATTTGCTTTGAAAAGAGCCCAGGACTAAATAAGATCAAGAGGAAATCTTAATTGAGTCTACTTGGTAGCCTGTGCTTTCTGCTTTTTTAATTTCTTGGATGACTAATCTACCAATAATATCCTAAATTTACTGGGAAAAATTATCCCCGCTCACTTGCCACTACAGAAACAAAACGAGTAACTTTGAACAATGATTTCCCCTGACCTGTCCAGCCACGAGAAGGGATGACGAACCCAAGTACAGATGTGAGCTGAGGACATGAGCTTAGCATGAGCAGGGCTCACTGGATCCCAGGTCCCAGGCGGGGCCCCCAGCAGACAGTGACTCCTCTCATCCTTACAGCTGCCTGGGCTGCATCCCTGACTTGTCCCATAGGGGAAGACCCAGAGCCTGGCACCGTGCCTCCACTGAGTCGACACTCAATAAATCTTTATTAAAGGAAGGAAGGGTGGGCGGAAGGAAGCAGATTGAGGTTTGGAGATGTTAACTTGCCCAACATCGCGCCTCTAGCAAGCCGGAGAGCCAGGAGTCAGAGGCAGGACAGCGCAGTTCGTCCACACCTCGCCAAGCTGCCAAGTTGTTCATTAACTTGCACAGGGCCAGCTTCTAGGAGCTGGCTGGGGCTCTGGCCACATTTGCTCAGTGTGTTAGCTTTGGCCTTATTGTAACTTATGCCATTAAAATTGCTGTGTTTATACAGCACTGTTGTTTTTTTTGCAGAATGCTTGAAAATAATAGCTAAAACTTAGTGCATGCTTCTTATTTCCATGCGCTTCACTGAGAACTTGACACAGCTCATTCCCCATGACCATCCTAAGAAATAGGTACAGTCATAAACCCATTTTATAGACAAGGAAACTGAGAGATTCTCTGACAACTGCTAATTAAGTGGTGGAGTCAGGATTCAAACGGAGACAGTTCGACCCCAAAGTTCCTGGCCCTTAAGCCTCTTTGCTAAATCCACTCCTTCTGTCCAATCACTGACATCGTGAGCGAAGGACAAGAGAGAAGCAAGTACCACCCACAGCTGCATCATGTATTTATTTTGTGAGTTTAACTAACTCTTAAAAGCGTCCACATAGTTCGAAGCACATCACCAATATCAACTAATGTCATTCTCCTCATACCACAAAACAGCGGTATGAGGCTGGCCGCATTACTATTTCCATTTCACAGATGAAGAAACTGAGGCACAGGGAGTTAAAGAATCTGCCCAAAGTCCCACAGCAAGTGGCAGGGCACGGCTCAAGCCCAAGCAGTCTGGCTCCCTTGTCCTCAGGCTTGCCCACCCAGAGAGCTGCCAGATAAGAACAAGGAGGCTCTTCACTGAGGTGAAATTCTCTCCTAAAACCTGTGGCTACAAACAAACAAACAACCACAGTCTCTAAGAGGAATGCAGAGCCATCTGCGGCCCTGGAAGCCTGGAGGTTAAACCCAGCCAGGGACTTGAATGACTTAATCACTCTTCAATTTGGATTTCCTGGCTGGATGGGTTCCTGTCCTTGCTACTTGAAATTAAGAGCCAATTGTTTATTTGCATTCTTGTGGGAGGGGTGGCCATTCTCCCTGGGCCGCTGGTTCCGGGAGAGTAAGCTCTCAGCGGGGCGTCAGGCAGGTAAAGGGGACCAAATGGCTTTGTCAAGCGAGCTGGCGGACGTCGGCCAACTCTTGCTTATTCCGCAGGGCCCCTGCCTCCCCTCTTCGCAGGAAACCTGCCCTGGGGTCAGCTGCCAACTCTTCCGCACCCCTGACGGGGGAGCAGGAGGAAGGAAAGGAGAGAGAACAGGCGTGAGTGGGGGGTTTTTGTTAGGAGGAGGGGCAGGAGGTCTTCTGAGGAAGCGGTGAGAAGTGGCAACCACAGCATCTACAGAAATGATGTTGAGCCGTGAACAGTGAGTCCTGCTTAGCACTGTGTCTGCCCGGAGCTACTGGGGAACGACAAGAGCTCCGGAAGGGGAGGCAGTGATGTCTGTCCTGGCCCAGGGCAGGCGCTCAGTGGATAGATGCCAGACAGCTTGTGATGTGACTACAAGCTCCCAGCACCTCAAAGAAGCGGGCTTTATTTGCGTCTGGTCCATCCGTGCCTGCCCCTCTACCTGCTCACCAGAGTGACGACAGGGCTGCTGCTGTGTGAAGTTTGACTCATTCCGGTCACTCTTCCTTTTCTTCCTCCTCACCCTGGGCCAGGTGAGCTGCTTATGTTTAGGTCCAGGGTACAGGCTATGGAACCAGGTGTCAGCGCTGGCCCAGCCACGCACCGGCGCGGACTTGGGCACACGACCTCCCCTCTCGGGGCCTGGAGCGCCTCATCCTCTCGTTCCCCATCTAAACACCCACTTCCCCTCCAGGAGCAAGGCCAGGAGTGTCCTCCCCCATCCCAGGCGGGGCGCCCTAGCATTTGGTTCTCCTTCCCCTAGAGCCTTTGCCTCCATCTGGCACAGTGATCAGCTCACCTGTGTTTCCCCTCACAAACTACAAAATGAATAACAGCATTATTGATCTCTGAATCCCCAGTATGGCACGTAGGCAATGCCTGGGATATAACCAGAGGCTCCGTAAAAGATTTTATGGGAGAAAAGAGGGAAAGCGGGGAGGGAGAGGGAAAGATAGATGCAGAGAAGGAAGGTCAGATGTAACCAATTACGCCTTTAGAACAGTAGGCACAGTTGGCAAAATTCTAGGAAGCTCCTACCCACCCACCCAAATGCCTTCTTCGCTTACCCAGTGTCTCAGATTTCCTCCTTGGGAGATCTGCTCCTTGCAGTAAAGACAGGGTTTCCAGGATCTCCTTGTTTCTTTCCCAGGGGTGAGGTGTTGAACTATCAACAGCAAACACCTCAGCATTCCCGTACAAGATGGACTTTCAAAGGGCAAGTGGGGAGAAAGCACGTCAACACTTTGGTGCTAGAAGTAGAGGAATGAGGCCCCTAAAAGGGAAGGGAGCGATCCGTGGCTTTAAAAAATGTCAATCTCCGTGAGTCAGAGTCATGAGAATGAGAACATGCCATTTCATTCCCACTGTGCCCTGCCCTGCCCACCCCATTGTCCCTCACGTACACGCGTCACTCGGAGAAAGTTCCCCTCCCCAGGCTCCAGCTGGTGCCCATTCTGGGCAAGACCAGAACCTCTGGTGTCTACCCACTTCTTAGGAGCTGGCAGAATAGCCTCTCTCTTTTCTTTTCTTTTCTTTTCTTTTCTTTTCTTTTCTTTTCTTTTCTTTTTCAACTTTTGTACCCTTTCATTACTACTTCAGCCCTGAGTTTGGATGTGGTCAGGAAGAACACTGTGTCATGTGCTAACATTCCAGACGTGCCGAAGACCTCTCAGGTCACTTTGTCCAATTCTCTGCCTCATGCTCAACTCCTTTCCAGCACCCCCTCCACAAGTGGACAACACCCCCCCAGAAGTGGGCAGCACCCCCCCCAGAAGTGGACAGCACCCCCCAGAAGTGGGCAGCACCCCCCAGAAGTGGGCAGCACCTTCCAGAAGTGGGCAGCTAGCTTCTGCTGGAACCCTCTGAGGGGAGGGGTGTTCTCTGCCTCTCTAAGCAGCCACTCCATTCTGGAATGCTCCAATGGCTAGGTAGAACCCCAAACCTGCCACTCTGGAACTTCTACGAAGGAGAAAAACAAGTAAAAACAAGTGCATTGTGTTAGATGACAATTTGGGAAATTGTGCAGAAGTTCAAGGGTAAGGAAAAGATGATCTCTGTGCCTCATAGACATATCTTTATCTACATAAACAAGTATGATGGTTAATTTTATGTGTCAACTTGCCTGGACTAAAGGATGCCAAGAGAGCTGATGAAACATTATTGCTAGGTGTGTCGGTGAGGATGTTTCTGGAAGAGATTAGCCTGTGAATTGGTAGACTAAGTGAAGAAGCTGGCCTTCCCCAATGTGGATGGGCATCGTCCCATCCATTGAGAGTATAAATAGGACAAAAACAAACACAAAGCAGAGGAAGGGGGAATTTGCCCTCTGCTTGAGTGGGACAGCCGTCTTCTCTCCCTTGGACACGAGGGCCCCAGGTTCTCAGGCTCTGGGACGCAAATTGAATGACACCACTGGCTCTCCCAGGTCCCCAGCTGGCAGAGGGCAGGTCGTGGGACTTCTTGGCCTCCATAGTCACATGAGCTGATCCCTATTCTAAGCCTCCATTTACATTCATTTCCCAAAGGTTCTGTTTTTCTGTGGAACCCTGGCTAATATAGCAAGTATAACCAAACCCACTGTATCTTTTTTTATCACACTCCTTCATGGTCCTTTTCTTCTAGTAGAAACAGTAGTTATCTGTGGAACCATGGCTCTCAAACTTTTTGAACTCAATACCCCTTTATTTTTTTAATTAAATGTATTGGAGTGACATTGGTTAATAAGATCCTATAGTTTTCAAGGGCGCATTTCTAGGATACATGATCTGTATATTGCATTGTGTGCCTCTGTATACTCTTAGAATTTATTTGTGACTCAAAAAAAACCCTTCGTTTCTTTGTGAATTGTATCTACCCATATTTTAATATGTTAAAAACTAAAACTGAAGAAAAAATTAAGTTTATTCATTCCTTTAATAACAATTTTAAGAACACAAGTAACATATTTTTGTGAAAACTGACTATATTTTCCAAAAGCAGCATGCATACCATGCATACAGTGAGAAGAGTGGCATCGGTTGATTTCTGGATGTTTCTCCAGTGCCTTCCTGCAGACAAAAACAGCTGGATTCTCGTATCTGCTTCTGCATTCACTCTGTAACAATACCTATGTGATGCGGCCACAGGAAAACGCCACTGTGGACTTGTGTGAGAGGAGAGTGGGAAAGGCAAATTATGTATTATTCTTGTGTGTTGTTATTATTATTAAAATCGTTTTAAGCTCACGGGCCCCACAAAAGGGTATCAAGCAACAAAGAGCAGCTACATAGTTTGTAGTGCACACTGAAAATGTGGGGTGCCTTGCTCAAAGGTTATTAAGGCCCAAGCCAGTTTGGCTCAGTGAATAGAGTGTCGGCCTGCAGGCCAAAGGGTCCCGGGTTCGATTCCAGTCAAGGGCATGTACCTCAGTTGCAGGCTCCTCCCCGGCCCAGGCCCTGGTCAAGGGCATGCAGGAGGCAACCAATTAATGTGTTTCTCTCACATGGATATTTCTTTCTGTTTCTCCCTCTGTCTTCCACTCTTTCTAAAATCCATGGAAAAATATCCTCGGGTGAAGATTTAAAAACAAAATTTAAAAAGTCATTAAGAATTTCCAGGCAGCTGCAGCAGGGCATTCAACTGAGCCTGGGGCCCTGCTACTGTAATATACTGCCTACATCTTGAATCAAATGGCTGGTTCAGGGCCATTAGTGTACAGCAAGGCACTCTAGAGGTGTGTGTGTGTGTGTGTGTGTGTGTGTGTGTGTGTGTGTGTGTGTGTTGGAGCTGCTGGAACACCAGGTATACATGATACATGGTCATGAGCAATAGCAGATCCATAATGAGATAAAAGCATCACTAAAAAAATAAAATTAAGTTTAAAAAAAAAGCATCACTAGTGCAGGTGTTCTGTGTGGGGGCCTACCTCAAAACCTTCTACCTCCTTCAGCCTATTCGGTCACACTGAACACACACCACAGATGCATACAAGCACACACACACCCCTCTAGCTGATGGGTTGTGCCCCTTGTATTCCTAATGGTCGCATACCAGTTAGTCAGATACTTGTCAGGGTTTCCTGTTTTGTGTTTTGTATTGTGGTTACAGGCTTTGATCAGCAAAACTGGTATCTACGGTCCCCATTTTCCTGTTTGGTGTCTGACACGTAGTAGGCACTCTGCGCATTAGCCGAGCTGAATCGGATAGTTCTGATGGTGAGTGGAACTTCTGCTTATTGGCTGCTGCTAATGGCTGGTGGTTGGCAACACAAATACACCATGTGTCTCCTTCCTGAGAATGGGGCTCGTAGGGGGCTCAGTAATCCCTCTACTAACGGGTGGACTTGTACGTTCAGATGACAATAATGTCATTCTCCAGCAACAAGCCAGACACAGCCATGATGTTCCTGAGGCTCAGATACGTACACGGCTAATGAAGGTCATGAGTTTTCATAGTATTTAGAATGATGCCCTTAGAATCCCGGTAACAAATTAGACAATGTCAATGAGCATTATATGCATTTATGAATATAATACAGGTTTGTTTACAGTTTTGGTCAAAGCACCTCTCTCTCTTCAGCATGGAGGGAAGTGACTGTGGCCGCTCCCCCACACTAAGGTAAGGCTCGCACAGTAGGGATATTAATCCTTCATAAAGGGGCAGGATGTTCTTCTATTCCTATTGGAAGTTACTACTTTGCAAAAGACCCCAGGATCTCTCGTTGAAATCTGCCATTTTCCAGATGGGGAAATTGAGGTTCAGAGATAAGAAGTGACTTATTGGTCCAAGATCACAGAGCTATTTAGTAGCAGCTCTGAGAGGCACACCCACTTCCTCTAATAATTAGAACATGAACCATCCACACCGGGAGGATGTGGGCTTTCAGTTTGGTGTGGGTCCAGATTACTAAAAATTTAACCACTGATTCATCGGGGGATCGTTAACAAGTAAAGCCCAAATCATCTCCAAATCTAACTGGCCGTCAAATCTCCCCCTACTGTCCTGAGCTCCATCCCTTCCACGTGTTCCCATGAAGCATCTTTCCTCCCTTTCATCCTCGTCCCCTCTACCAGCCTCCTTTCCTGCCTTCCAGTGTGCCTTCCTCACCTTGGGGAGAAGGAGAAACAAGCCTTTACATGGCTGGCTGCTCCTTGTAGTTAAAATTCTATTTCTTTTCACCTGTTTCTGCCAAACTCCTGGACGTGACATATATACCCAGAGCTCCCTTTTCTCACCTCCCTTGACTTCCCTAAGCTTCACAGAATTCACCCACTCAAGGGTCAATGATGTGCTTGTTTCTAAATCAAATGGCTTTGTCTTGATCATAATTCTCCTTGACGTCAATTCAATGACTGTGTTTCCCTGATAGCGATATGATGATATTACAGAAGCTTTTATACATAAAAATAGGTCAGGTGTTAAAGGGCCAGTCGGTAATGGCCTGGGGAAGCAGACTGCTTGGCTCGCCTCTTGCTTGCACAATTGACTACATGGATCCCTTAAGCGAGTTGAGCCTCAGCTTCCGTATGTATAAAATGAGAACATAACAGTATCCAGCTCATAGAGTTTTGGTGAAAGGCCATGAAATATGCTTAGAACACTGTCCGGCACATATTACATCGTCAATAAAAATGAGTTGTAAATGTAAGGTGACCAAGCAGAGTTTAAGTTTGCATATCCACGGAAGAGAACGTGTTATGCTCTGAAGTTACTGTTTCTCCTTGCTGCAGTCATACAGCCTTCCCTTGGCATAGTTCCTTAAAATACATCAATTTGGACGTTTGTTGAGGCAAATGACACTCCCTTCCCAGATGGTTTCCATAAAGGGCTCAGAGATCTATGTGATCCATACCCCAACCACCCACGATTCATTTTAACGAGGAACAGATTGAAAGGAACCTTAAATTCGTGGAAAACCCATGGCTTGCAACAAACATCTCCAAGCGGCAAGTTCCACTTTCTGGGAGCTAAGCCCCTGTGTCTCCAATCCCCAGTTGCCTCCTAAATTTGCATGAGGCTTCTGAGGTTGATGCCCAACTCTAGCCACATATTTGAGATTTTTTTCCAACTTGCTTGTCTCTTTTCCTTGCCTCTGGCTGGTAACTGTAGAGTGCATAATCTCTATAATTTTTACCTACTCTAGGATTCCCTCTTTTCTGCATGGTGATGATGATGGAAGATATTTCTTGAGTGCCTACTGTGTGCCAAGCTTGTTACTAAGCACTTTATATGTACCATTGTCCCCACTGCCCAATGCTTTGCCTTAAATGCACATGCAAATTCTCCATGATCTGACTTTCAATTTTAAAAAAATGACCTCCACTTGCATTTCCATTATGATCAAACATC